GCAGCTCATCGGGCCGGTGGGAGAGGCGGCGAACAGAGCCGCTTCCGCTTCCGCTCACGTTACGCACACACCAGGGGTGACGTCACAGCCCTGCGACTCGCCCCTCCCACGCCATGTTCGCTCCTCCTTTAGGCCTCCCGCCTCTTTTCGCTGCCTATCAGCCCGCTAGATGACAAAGGCCCAAGGGCGGAGACCGAGCGTAGGACAATCGCGGTAGCGCGGACATTTCACCTCCCACCCCGCCGTACTGAGGCGGTTCCGCTGGGCTGGGGGCCCATGAATGTCGAGGACTCTATTCTGCGAGTCTGGGACCCCCTCACCCAGCCTGACGCCTAAAGTCCCTGCTTTGGAGCTCCTCGCCCTGACACCTCTCCAACACTGGTTGCCTGTTAATCTGCATCCTTTCTAGTTCCCTTATTCAGCCTGTTAAGGGTTTGCAGTAGAATTGGAAAGCTCCTCTCCCCGCCAGCTGCACAAAGTGAGGGCATCAGAAGAGCTCGCACAGTGCTGCTGTAGATGGGAAGGGAGGTACAGTCCACCCTCTGTATAGGTGGCGAGGAGTGGGCAGGAATGGTTCTAGGACCGCGCTGGATACCCAAATCTGCGGATTGGATGCTCAAGTCCCTTATATAAAATGGCATAGTATTTGCACTGCATACTTTAAATCATCTCTAGATTACCTATAATACCTAATACAATGTAAACGCTATGTAAATAGTTGCTGGTGGGTGGTAAATTTGTTTCTCTTAACTTTTCGGGTTTTTTTTTTTCCCCTAAATATCTTCAGTTCGTGATTGGTTGAATCAGTGGATATGCACCCTGAGGATACAGACAGCTGACTGTCAGCCTGAATAAACAGCATATGCAAAATTCACATCTAGTGAAAGAGTGGGGTTTTCAATGCAGCAAACATTTATTTAATTCCTATTTGCCAGTCCTGAGCTAGGGCCTCTGAATGCAGAGTTCTAGTAGGACAAGATTCTAGTCCTCTAGGCACCAACGGTCTTGGAAAGGAAGGCAAACAGGTAAACTGGCAATTTTGACAATATGTGGGAGTTACAGTACTGGAGGTAGACACAAAGTGTGCAGGCAAGGGAGGAATGGAACTAACGGCTGCTGCCTACTTCTGAGTCAGGCATTCTATCAATTTTATTCCATTTAATGATTCCCTTAATATTATGAGAGGCAGGTATCAATATCCTCACTTAACAGGTGAGGGAAAAGGCTCAGGGAGATGAATTTACTTGTCCAGGGCTCTTTCCCAGTCTTTATGAGAACCAAGAATCAAACTAATTTGGTTTCAAAAATCCAGAATTTTTCTGCCATACTGAAATCAGCTAGCTTCAGGGAGCCAAAAGGTTCACAAGAAAAGGTGATTTCTGAGCTGAGTCTTGAAAGAATCCTGGAAATCAGCCAGGCAAAGAGAGCCAGGGAGAGTGTTAAGGGCACAGAACAGCTTGAGCAAAAGTGAAAATGTGTGTGGGGAGAGCAGGGAAGCATAAACAATTTGTTACTCAGGAACAAAAAGCAAGGAAGGGATTAGGTTTATGAGTCAATAAAAAGCCCAAACCAGATCCAGTAATCTTTGAAGAATCTTGATCAAGTAAATGACCTCATGGAATTTGCATCTTACTCTGGTAGGTGGTTTAGGGAAGGATGGGAAGTAAGGACACATCTCCAAAGGGCCTTCACAATTCAGAAGAAAGAGAATATGAGTCAAAGCTAATGTAGCAATAGAGGTGGAGAGAAACAGATGGGTTCTAGATATATGTGGGAAATATAATTGGCAAGACTTGTGGATTGATAAAGATATACTGAAGAGGTCAAGTCAGTAGGACTTGTTGATTGAAGGTGATGATGGAAGGAGGTGAAGGAAATGGGAATCTAGGATGGCACTTTAGGTTTCTGGCTTGGTTGGAAGAAACATAGAGAAGAGTTTGGGACTGGGAAGAAGAAAGATGAAGTATTGAGCATCACACACCTTGCTTTTAAGGTATTAATCACTGTTGAACAGAAAGTCTGATTTTAGTGAGATGGTGATGGCTGTGGATGCCAGTGATTGATTTGTTCCAACAGACAATGAGTAGAGTGAGAAGAGCAAAAGACTAAGGATGGAGCAATGAAATACACCAACATTCAATAAGGAAGCAGAGAAAGAGAAGGAGGAAAGAGGGAATGGGGGAGGAAGAGGAAGTGGCCAGAGAAGTTAAGCCCTGAAGCTAAGGAAGTCTCGAGAGGGAGTAGGCAACTATGATAGAAAGCCCATAAAGCAAAGATTGGGAAGTGTGCACAGGATGAAGCAGCAGGCAGGCCTTTGTTTCTCCATGTCAGGAGAGGAAAGAGTGAAAAATCAGAGCAAACCTCACAGCAATGAATTAAGGAGTGAAGATGAAGTGAAATAGTGTACCCAGACAGGGTAGACAATCCTTTAGAAAAGCCTGGTTGAAAAGAGAAAGAAGATGGGGGGTGGAGTCTGCAGGGGAGCGTCCCAAACAATGCTGGTTATAGCATCTTGTAGAGGAACCTGGGGCAGGAGTAGGGGGACCTGAGTATGATGGGGCAGGCCGGGTTGGCAGTCAAATCAAGCTCAAAGCGTTTCGAGGTTAGGGAGATAAGCTGTCAGTGGCAGTCAACAGTTGAGAGTTCAACAGGACTTCCAATAGTGCAGAATAAGGAATCGAGCCACCAGCTGTGGGGCAGGGGACAGACCCCCTCTCCTAGCAGGAAAGGGTCAAGGGTCGATGAGTATCTTCAGTAGAGCTGGGAAGTTGGGTGTTCCCCAGCCTGTCACTGGATCCCAGCCAGGGCCAGAGCAGAAACCTTGACCCTCCACCTCTTCATTCAGACAGGATGCATGGCAGCCATGGGTTACCTAGGAAGGGGAGTGGAGGTGGGCATCAGACTCGGGTCTGCTGGTACCAGTACTAACAGACTGCAGGCCCTCGCCCTGTAGTCACATTCCAGAGGCTGTCCCACCCCATCAGAATTGACCTCAAGTTCATCTTTGCACTCACCATTCACTTATGAAAACATCTACACCCTTCCCTTCCACACTCACATCAAACAGTCCTGTCCCACGCTGCTGGTAGAGCCTTGGGTTGAGAAAGCCAAGAGCAGGGTGGCCTCTGAGGAGTCTGTGCTCATTTATCAGGGATAGGATTCCCCCAAACACTGGAGTAGAGGCCTGCAAAGGTGAAGGTGCAAGTAGAGGTCAAGGGTTCAGACTTTTTGGGAGGGATATTTGGAAGGATCAGAGGTCTCCGAGGAGTCAGGGGTTCTGGGTGCAAGGTCTCGCGGGTAGAGCCTGAGGTAGGAGTTCTCACCGAGGTGCCAGACACCCATGGAATGGGCACGTGGTTGCTAACCACCCAGTAGCCATCAGAGAGTGCAGCCACATCTGGGTAGGCACGGCCACTGACATTGAAGTAACTGGATGGTGGCAAGTGGGGACTGGAGCTCAGGTACCGGGCTACAGCTTCTTCCTGAAAGGCATTGTTGAGTGAGTACTGTCTGCTGAACTGAGGCTCCCAACAGTCCCCCCTTCATCCACATAAACATACACGTACCTGGTAAGAAGGCTGTGGGAACACATTGCTGAAACCGCCACCACTGATATAGTCAACAATCTCATTTGTGACTCGGAAAGGATTCTGGAAGGATGTGCCTCCTACTGTGGTGACATAGGGGCTGAGGGCAGAAGACAGCACTCAGATTGTAAGGGTCCAAAGGACACCTCCAAAATGTATGGGGATAGGTGAGTGTGGCCTGGGTCTTGCTGGAGGGGCTGGACTGTTGGGGAAGCATGTAGAAGGGGATGACTGAGAGTTTTGAGCCCTCAAGGCATGGCCTGGAGTGACTGTGCACACTTTTCCCTACAGAACACCCACTAAGTCTTCCACTAAAATGCCTGGGGACCAAGGAAGAGGAACTGTGTCCTACTCAGGAGACGCAGGGCCTGAGACCTACAGGAAGAAGAAGGGAGTGCAGGAACCAGAGCAGGTAAAGCTGAGGACTGAGCCACAGGAGGACCTGGCGGGGCCAAGGCAAAGGTTCCAGATCATGAGGGCACAGATGAAAGATTGGTGGTCACAGGTAAGTGGTGGGCAGGGGTGCTTACCTGGAGGCAGGGAAGCTGGGACGGAACTGGTGTCTTCCAGAGACAGACCAACACCCAGCCCCACTGTCACCTGAGGGAGAGACCAAGTTTAGCACTCCCATTAAATTGGTCAAAGCTTGAATGTGGGTTCAGATGTCAGAGAGGAAGTTCTAGTGTCAGTCATTACAGCAAGAGGTCAGAGTTTAGAGGTCAGGTCAGTGGCCCCTGTTGAGTTCAGATTATGAGTCAGAGATCAGGTTCAGGAGCCACTGTGGGGTCAGAGTTCTCATGTTGGGTGGGTGTGGGTGGAAGGAGGTCTCAGTTTAGAGTAGGAGGTCACCTGAGGCAAACAGCAGGGTGAGACCCCGAGCAGCAGCCTTCATGAACTCGGTGTTGACCCGCTGGATGTAGGCGCTGCTGAGGGAGTCCTCGTCATCTCCGTAGCTCACAGTGTGCACATATGGCAGGGCTGACTCATTACTGAGCAGCAGGAGCCACTGCAGGAAGGGCTCCTGTGACTCATGCCGGCCTGGATGTTTTTGGAGGGAAGGGCACAAGGGCAGTCATTTAGGGGGTTGTCAGGATCTCCCTCTAGCTCATGGGATTCCCTTGGGGAAGCAAAGATCACCACTCACCCCACCCCATCCCCACCAAACAGTCCCCTTGGCAGTACCAGGGTTACTGTAGACCCAGGTGGAGATGTTGGCGCCAGCACTCATCAGGTACTCCACATCTAGGCTGGCCTCGATGCCGGCCCGGCCCCGGCGCTGTTGTCCGACCACACGAGCAACTGATACCTGGTGGGCAAAGTTCCCACCAAAGAGATGCATGAACTCAGCCAGGTCCGAGTCATGGAAATACTGCTCCAGAAACTATGGAGGAAGTCAGAGATATCATGGGTCAGAGGACACAGCCCCAGGGATCAGGTCAGTGGATACTGACCGATCACAGGATTCGGGATGAGAGCCCAGGGGCTAGTTATAAAGCCAGCCGCCAGCTGGTCAAGCACTTGGGGAGGTGGTACGAACCCTGAGGCTCTCTGCATGGCTCACCTGGGCACAGGCTTGGCTGTTGTTGGTTGTGCCTGAGCCCACGTCTTGTGCTGTCAAGTTGTACCGCTCACGGATCACGGACGGGGTCACCCCCAGGTGCAGGCCTACGGTCCCTGGCACCTGTGGCTCAGAGCGTTGCCTCAGGGTTGATGTGGGGGGAAAGCGGTGCAGCCCTCCCACTGTGGGGAGGAGTCAGGCTTGAGGAGATCTTTTAGATTCCAACCCCCACTTTACCACTGACCCCTCTCTCACCCCCACCCCCCATGGCATCTAAACCTCTCCGGTCTCTGGCTCTGCGTGCCCCAATCCCCACCAACCCCACTGAGTGTTACCAAAGTCCACATGGGAGACCAAGGCCTTTGGAAGTTGATAGGGATGTGGAGACCTTACAGCATGGGTCTCTGCAGGTCCCCCCACATAGCGATGAAACTCAGCCCCAGAGAGCAGCAGCTCTGCTTGCCTGGAGGTCACAGATCAGAGAACAGAGGTCAGAAAGCATGGAATGTGGCAGAGGAGGCAGCCAGAGCATCACTAGGCAGTTAGTCGTTATCTCCCCACACGTTATCTTTTACCCATGGCACCAAGCAAGCTCTCAGCTCCCTCCCACTGCGGGGAACTAATCTCCTTGATGGGATGATTGGTACCCTCCACGAACAATCACTCCCTCTCACCGGACACTCAGCCAGCAAGTCAGAAAGTCCTGTGTGGTCACTGACTGGCAGTTCCGGGCTCCAGCTGCCAAAAGCCATTTTTGGACCGTGTGTAGGGTCAGTGGTGATGGCCGGACCAGTTCAGCCACATCCTCTAGGGTCAGGTACTTTCCTGCAGGGATTCAGTAGAGGCTCTTGCCTTCATTCACTGCTTTTCCAAGTTACCCTTTTTTGGACTTCAACCAGGAGACATTGGGACTTCACAGGGAAACTGGAACAGGGTCTTGAGGGATGAGTGAGAACCTTCTAGTGAAAAGGCAGGCTGCGCAGGTACAGGCTAAATTTGGGGGAATATGAATTTATCCTAAAGGCCAGTAGGTGGCAAATGCTGCACCAGAGCATGCATTGCCATGATCGTGAAAGGCGAATGAGGCTAATAGATTTAAAATGTTCATTTTCAGTTTGTTTCCAATAAAAGTTTCCAAAACTTTTTAAGCCAATTGTAAAATGACGTCTAGTTTAAATCACACTGGTTGATTTTAAGCGTAACATGATAGTGAGTCGCTGTTTTCCTACATGGAGCCACGCACACCCCTCCTGGATGAATCTTAGACTACCCTCCTCACACACACACCACCCCTGCCCCTATCACGAAGGGCTTGTAGGAAGGGGCTGGAGGGGAGGGGACTGCAGAGCAGTTAAGGGGCTGGGCAGCAGTTCAGGTAAGGCAGTAAACTGCTGAGTTGGTGGCAACAGGAAATGGTAAGAAGTGGCCTACTCCAAAGGCTGTTTCAGAGTTGGAACTGGCAGCCTTAGCGTCTGAATGGAGGAGTAAATGGGAGGAAGTTTGAAGGTGGGGGGAGGAATTTGAGGTAATGGGCACTTAGATGTACTAGACGCTACTTCCCCCTTTGTCAGGTAGTTGGTTAACAGTAGAGTCAGAATTTGAATCCAGATCTGATTATCAAGCCTGTGCTCTCAACCATATCCACTTTCAGTTTTTCAGCCCGATGACCACAAGTGGAAAGTTTTGTAGGAAAAGACGTGAGTTGTTTTTGGACAGTCTAGTTTCGATTCACTTTTCTATTCAGAAACTGTTCAATGAGAGCCACTGCCGTTCATCTGCCCTAGATCATCCTCTTGACGGACACCAAGAGCATGTCCTTGATGTGATCTGCACCGTTTCGTGCTCAGCCCAGCCCTATGTCCTTCCACCGCATCCCACATCCCATCCCCCATCCCGACAGGCACCGTAGAGAGGAGAGCCAGGATCCGACACAGCCTGCACCAGCTTGGACAGTCTGTCCAGGTTCTGCTGTCTCAGGGCAAACGTGAGACTCAGCTCTTCCTCAGGGTCCGCACGGCCCAGGGACACCCAGCCTGGGGGCAGCCTGCAGGGTCAGGGTCAGGAACATGGCCATTGTTAGGGTGGTGATAGGAGATATTGGTCATTGAAGGTTCAACTTTAGACTTGGGAGGATGCTAGAAATAGATATGGATCACAGGAGGTGGGTGATCAGGTACTAAGCCTGGAAATCTGGGGATGAGACTAGGCAGTGGGTACCAGGAACCGGTAAGGGGGTGAGGGAGGCTAGAACCAGGATAGTGGGTGCAGGACAAGCCATGGGGAAGGAGGCAGTCATTGCTAAGTCAACTCACGTTCGCTGCTGGTCAGGCTCCGGGTTGTAACTGCATTTGCCGGCAACAAAGAGGGCAAGGAGCCCTAGGAGGCTGTAGGGGCAGCACGTGGGTTTCAGCAGGAGCTGGACTGTTCCCACCCGCCACCATACACTCCCTCCAATGTGATTCCCTTTTCTGGGGGGCCCCTAGATTCTCACCAGACTTGGGGTCCCATTCTGCCTTTCTGCAGCTCCGCTGTCATGTGATAGGTCACGTGAGCTCCACCACCACCACCGCTCTCGGCCTAGAAACTAGTGACGGTGCTAGCTCCTCCCTCGAATGGGTGGTTCTGAATGCTGGGTAAGGGGTGGGGCCCGTCAAGCACTGGTTTAACCCAGGGCTCCCGACCTGCTGCCAGAATCCAGGACTCACCACGGTGAAGGAAGTGCTTAAGAAAGGAGCTCTGGAGGCCCACAGACCCACAGACCCGGGTTCTTACTCTGTATGACATAAGGAAAGTCACTTAACGTCTCGGAGCCTAGGTTTCTTCATGTAGAATACAGAGACCATTATGTTAAAAGTGCTCTGCCTTGTAGGGTTGCGGTGAATATTTACAGAGATAAAAGCAGGCAAACCTCTCAGTAAAGGGCCCCATATGGCAAAGGCTCAACAAATGTGAGTTCTTATAACATGAGGATATATAGTGGCCCCAAGAAAAACGAATAAACCACTTGGCTGCTCTTGTATCCACCCCAACCTCCTTGAAGAGCCTCAAACCTAGAGCTGGTCATCTCCAAGATCTCTCCCCACCCTGCCAGTCCTTCTCTAGTTCATTGCCACAAGCCCCTGCTGTCTGCCTTCTCCTGGCCTCCTGTCCATGTTGGAGGGAAAGGGCGACTGCAGAGAGAAGTGATAGTCAGCCTCAGGCTAGGCCCGGGCTGTCAGTGCCATCCTCACCTACCCCCACCCTAGATGCCCCTATGTCCAGCACCCTCCTGTGCCTCCTGAGGTGTCCACAATGTGCCAAGTGCCCTCCTGTCACCCCCCCATTCCTATGGCCCCCCACAGAAGAGAGCCGGACACTGGATACAAACTGCAGTTTATTAAGGCTCCAGAGTGAGAATTGGCACTTGGTTCTGGGCAGGGGTGTCATCGGAACCCAAAGGAGCTGGGCCCAAACAGATTGGAGGGACTGCCCCCATCCCCCTACCCCCCAATAAATAAAGTCTCAGCTCCATCTCAGGGTGCTGGCACAGGGCAAGAAGCCTCACTGAGGAGACCCCAGGGCTGCTGCCTCCTTCATCTTCCTCCCCACATTGGACCTGGCCACAGGTCAGTGCCCAATAGGGCCTCGTGATGCTGGTACTCTGACAGGGCCAGGGTAAGACATGAGACCCGCCCCCGCTGGAGGACTTTGGGATGGGGAGCTGGCCTCCCCTGTGGCCAGTCGTGGTCTGAGGCTGCCCAGGGCAGGCTCAGATGGGGCCTGCATTGAGGACACTGTGCGCATCCCAGGTCGGGGCCCAGCCTGGGCCACAGCTAGATGTGCAGCTCTGTGTCATCGGGTGGCTCCAGGCCGGACTCTGCACTGAGTGCTGAGGCTGAGGGGCCCTGGGCCACCCCAAATGGTGAGACAACAGGTGAGCGAGCAGCCAGAGGAGACAGCGATGGGGAGAAGCTGGGGGACATGGCAGCTGAGGACAGGGAACCCTCATGGCTGATTGGGGAGCGGTGAGAGGCCGGTGGGAAGATGGCCCGAGTTGCAGCCGTGCTGGCTGGCTTGGGGGGCACAGACTTGGCTCCTGGGTGGGCCACAGCAGTGATGAGGGGTGGCGGGTCAATACGGGGAGCCGGGGGACATGGCCGAGCTTCATCCTTGAGCCGGGCGATCTCTGTGAAGACGCTGGCCAGCGGCTGGAACTGAGGGCACCAGCTCAGCAGGTAGTCCCAGTTATAGCTGCCACGGAGCTCCTCCTCACCGGCCACAATGGCCGTCAGCGCACCTGCCACACATGGCTTGCCATCTGCTGGAAAGCCATAGTCCCCGGTGGGTGCGGGGCTTAGCCCACAGCCACCCAAGAAGGCTGTGGCAGTGGCTGTGGGGCCCTCTTCTCGGTACAGAGTGGCTCCTGTGCCTGGCAGCAGCAGCCCTGCCTTGCGGCCCTTATACCAGGTGTCAGGGGCAGGTGGCTCACAGGATGTGTCACTCAGTCCATCTGCATCCTGCTGGATGCCGGAGTCCGGGCCACGGGCAGCCAGCGAGGAGGCCACACTGGCCACACGCGGGAACTCGTTGATCATGCGGATCTCGTCATCCTCTGCAGCCTCTGCTGAGCCTCGGCCACTTGAGTGTGAAGGGTCTAGGGAGCCACCACGGGGGTAGGGTCCTCCAGCTCCTGGCCCACCGTAGCTGGGGAGAGTCTGGTGATACAGGTGCTCTGAGGGCGGAGGGCTGGGGGGCTCTCGGCCCAGCTTCTGCAGGGAGCCACTGGCCAGGGGTGCTGCCTGTGACATCGGGCCAGGCGCTGCCTCAGCCTTGCGGTTACGGGCCCGCACCAGCCCGAGCACCAGGGCTGCCAGTGCAAGCACCACCACGACTCCCAGGGAGGCCGCCACAGCCCCCACCAATAGCAGGTTGAGGTCGGGTGCCAGGCCCAGCGCAGTGTGGGTGATGTCCACAGTCACAGGCACCGTGGCACTCCGGGAACCAGGCAGAGGCCCCCGTGCCACCACCTCCAGCCTCAGCTCCCGTGGTGCCTCTCGCCGGGTCCGGCCCCCACTCCCAGAGGTGCCCGTTCCACTGCCTGGTGCCCGGCTGTCCACCCGCAGGTATAGGGCACCTGTAGTCTGGTTGATACCAAAATAGGGGGAAGAGGTGGCAAGGGAATAGAGCACCAGGCCATCAGCACCTCCATCCTCATCTGTGGCCTGCACATGACCCAGGCTGTGGCCACGCCTGGCACCTTCTGGCACTTGGAAGTGGAAAGCTGGAGCCAGGAATACTGGATCATACTCATCCTCGCCAGTCACCAGCACTGACACGGTGACTGAGGCTGATAGATTCCCAGCATCGGTAGCACCCACCAGCAACTGGAAGCTTCCTGTGTGCTCGTAGTCAAAGGCCACTCGTGCCCGCAACTCCCCTGTTGAGCTGTTCAGTGCAAACGCCTCATGGCCCTCAGGCCCTGGCCCAGCCTCCAGCAGGCTGTAGTGGAGCCTCCCGAAAGCCCCAGCGTCCCCATCAATAGCATGCAGCGTGGTCACAAGAGTGCCTGGAGGTTGGTTCTCCACCAGGCTGGTGCTGAGCAAGCTCAACGGGAAAGCCGGGCCATGGTCATTCACATCCTGGACCTCGATGGTCACTGGTGCTAGAGCAAAGTGTGCCCCGGCAGGGTCGGCAGCCTGCACGACAAGCTGATGTCGAGCCTGGGTCTCACAGTCCAAGGGGCGGGCCAGTCGCAAGTCGCCCGAGCTTTCATCCAGCTCAAAGAGCCCCAAAGGGTCGCCTGAGCTGAGGGTGAAACGCACCAGGCCGTGAGGGCCTGGGTCAGCGTCAGAGGCCTCCACCTGCAGCAGCTCGGCTCCAATGGGCGTGTCCTCGGGTACTGCCACGCGGTAGGATGAGCGGGTGAAGACAGGTGGGTTGTCATTGACATCCAGCACAGTGACGGTGACCGGCACAGTTGAGCTGCGAGGTGGCTGCCCCCGGTCAGCTGCAGTCACAGTTAGATTGTACTGGGTTAGGCTTTCAAAGTCTAGAGGCTCAAGCAACACCAGGCAGCCCAGTGCCCGGGGGCCTAGTCCACCACTCTCCCCAGCCTCAGCCAGCCGGGGTTCCAGCTGGAAGACTCGGCCCCGGTTGCCACTGACAATGCTGTAGTCTACAGTGGCGTGGGTGCGACTTCCATCAGCATCTGTGGCCTCCAGGGTGAGCAGGGTGGAACCAGGGGCCAGATCCTCAGTCACAGCCACACGGTAGTGTGGCAGTGTGAAGCTCGGGGCATGGTCATTCTGGTCCTGCAGCTGCACATGCACTGTGGCTTGTGCTGTCCGGCTCGGCATCCCATGATCTCGTGCTTCCAGCACCACATCCACCACTCCTGGCCCTTCATGACCCAAGGCCAATGTTCCCACTGTTGTGAACAAGGTCCCTGAGATGAGAAGGGAATGGAGAGAAATATATAGTCAGCAGAGGCTGTGGGTGAGCAGAGGGACCCTTCGGGGACTAGGAAATGGCGTTGGAAGTCAGACTCCCAACTCCTGGTATGTTAGGAGATGATGGAATGGCCTCCAGGCTTCAGGGAATGGCCTCTAGACACACAGTCAGGACTGTGTTTAACATAGAGACAAAGGGGGAAAATGTCCTCCCTGGGTCAGAGATCCAGGAGTCAAGAGTTTAGGCAAGAAATTTTAAGAATAAGGCCAAAATACAGCCGAACACACTCCAGCATAAGGGAAGGACGCACCGTTGTTGGGGTCAACACTGAAGCCCTCAGCAGGGGAAGCCAGGTGGTAGGAGACGTGACCATTGACACCTGAGTCCCGGTCAGTGGCAGAGACGGAGAGAATGGCACTGCCTGGGGGTGTGTGCTCAAGCAGCATCACCTGAGGGGTGAGGACAAGTGTTTATGGCCAAGTTTCCCAGATGCCCTGCTGCTCACTCAGCCCATGTTCTGGAGCTTGGTCCCAAGAGCTCTGCTTGGCATCCATTCCAGTATGGAGTTCTTACCCTTTAGTATGTGTGTTGTCCACCTTCCCCCATCTCTGGGCTCAGGATGAAGAACCTGGACACAGTTCCAGGGCTTGGAAGGCTGGGTTGAGATGGGACCCTTCTGTCCTCAGAGCTGCACCCCCAGATCAGTTCCAACATCCAGCCCTCCCCAGACCCTTCTAGCCTCATCACTTACTGCCAGTCTGAACAACCTGGCCCGGGGGGAGACATCCAGGGGCACTGGTACCTGGTAGAGGCTCTGGGAGAAGGCAGGTGCATTGTCATTGACATCCTCCACAAGCACCGTGAGGTTGGCATGGCCCTCATGAGGTCCGTCATGTGCCAACAGCTGCAAGTGGTAGCGGTCACGCTGCTCGAAATCCAGGGGGCCCGTGAGGGAGAGGCGGCCTCCATAGCGGCCTACACTGAAGGGATCCTGGGGTCCAGATGGGCTCAGCACATACCACAGCACTGGTCCTGAGTCCACGTCATTCCCTGTTACCTGTGCAATCTCTGAGCCCAATAGTGCATCTGCAATACACAGCACAGGTGTGTTTGGCAGGGTCCCAGACAGTCCTGGAGCCCCAGAGTGGGAAACTGT